GAGTCCAATTCCCTAATTTAACAGATGATACAATTGAGACCCTGAGCAGCAGTGTGACTTCCTCATGGTCATGGAAGTAAGAAGTGGCCCAGCTGGTATCAGAGAACCAATAAAGAAGAGATAGTGAAACCAGCAAAAAAAAAAATTCATCTGGAAAGTAGAAATATAAAAGATTGGTTTAAACAAGTAAATATGCCCTTGGCTATAGTAAAAGAAGAAGAAAGAGTGAAAGAAAATAAGGAAAGAAAGGAACATGTAGCAGTGAGAAACAAAGTGAGTAGTGCGAATAGCATTGGGACTTGGAAGAAGCCTCTGATTTGACTTAAAAATAGCCTCCCAGATGTGAGACTGTGCTGACCCTCTGGAGTGGGAGCTGAAGAGGCTGGGAAGTTGGTAAAATGCTGATGGAGAGTCTGGATCTCAATTTGTCTCTCTAGGTCTATCTATGATGAAGGCCTGTGAAGGCTTTTTCTTTTGTCCTCAGACTAGGGGCTAACAACATCAACTAACATAATCCAAGATCTTTACAAATTTTCATGGGGTATTGGGATATTTTTAGAAATGAAAAAAAGGCATATAGGTCACCAACTCAGTGTAGGAAACTATATCTCATTTTTCTTTTTCTTTGTCAAGCACACATTCATCCAAAAAGAAGGACAAAGAATATATTCAAGAAAAGAGATCAAAGAGAAGAAGAGAGAAGGAGGGGGGTGGGAGTGGTGTGGGATAAAAAGAGCCACCAATGTCATAAGACTGAAACAGAAAGAAAAACAATCGAAAGGAGAATTTGGGTTGATCTGGTCGGTTGTGAAATACACCGCACTCTTGGTACCAATTTTGGTCCAGGTCCATTATAGCAGTTTGGGGACTTAGAGAAGATTTTACAAAAGAACCAAACAGTCAGTAATGTTCAGAGAAATTAAGCCTTTAATTACAGTGTAATGTGCCTCCCACCAGAGAAGGTCCAAAGCTTAATAAGAGAAACCTAAGAAGGGGAAGGACGGCAGCCAGGGAGGCTATCAGATCTTGGAAGTGATGATCTTCAGGCCACTTTAGAAAGAAAAAAGGTAAGGTTATAATGATCTTGAAGTGAGGTAGCCACCAGGGTTGGCACAAGCAGTTCTACCAACTCCCCATTCATTTTAGAAGTTGGTATGGGAGGCAGCTGGTGTCCTGAGTCCTCTATACTAAGGAGGTTTAATTGACACTTTTGTACCAGAGAAGCTTAATGAGGTGTTTTTTTTTTTTAAATTATTGTCTCATGGATTTATTAAGTTCTGTTTGGTCAGTTCTCATTTTCAGGGAGTTCCCCCCCCCCCCCATGAGGTTTTATCTCTCTTGTTCCAAGCTGTTAATTCTCTTTCCAAAGCTTTTTTTTCCCCCATAGCCCTCATTTCTTTCCTCATTTTTTTTCTCTAACACTCTCATTTTGTTTTTAGAATAGCTTTTAGCTCTGTTTAAAAATCAACTCTTTATTTCTTCTGGAAACCTCCGTTACATTTGTATTCAAGCTATGTTTTTCTTTGAGTAAAATTTTCTTATTGGAGTAATTTTCTTATTCTGGGTTTGTATCTTGAGCATCCCTTTCAGCATAACTGCTCTTTATGGAGGGATTCTTTTCTTTTTTTCCTCATTTTTTCAGCTTACTTCTTGACCTCAGACTTTATGTTAGGGTAGGGCTCTGCACACACCTGAGGAAGATATCCATCTTGAGTCCTTCTGAGTGCTTTTTTTGGGTGTATTGGTTCTTGGGTTATTCCATGATCTCAGGGACACCTCTGGTTCAGGACCTGAAAGTTTTCAGTGCTCTCAAAGTGAAGGGGTGAAGGGTGAAAAAGCAAAAGGTAAAAGGTGAAAGGATGAAGTTTGATCACCATAGTCCTGGTCTGAGCTCTGTAAGTTCCTGACTTGGTTTTGGGTCTGTGCAACATTCCTGTTGGCTTGTCCTTGGTTGGAAGTTCCAGTAGACTGTTGCTGTACTCTGCCTCATCAGCCAGCTAGGAAGCTCTGCAGGATCAGAGTGACATAATTTCAGGCTCCCTTTTGGTCTTGGATTCTTGCCCTGATTAACCCCCTGAAGACTCTGCCCAGCACCTGGAGTTAGAGCCATGGAGCTACCATGTACTTCTGAACTTATTCTTTGATCAGTTGCAAAGCCTAGACACTCCTTACCCTGGAGCTACCACTCTTCATCCTAGAATGCCACTTTTAAGCACAGGTCTCAGCTCTGGAGCTGTGATGGGAAACTAGGTAGTGAATGACAGGGCTGACTGTTGGCACTCATTCCCTCATCCAATGCAAGGTCAAGATTCTCCCTTATGGGTCTGAGACTTCTTCCTATTACTGCCTAATGATCTAGGGGAAGACTATTAGTTTTCCAGGGAGAGGATGGGGTCTCAATCTGATTAGTGACCCATCTTTGGTATCAGAGGAAGAGAGATGTCAAGGGTTGGTTAGGGAACAGCTGGTTGTCTAAGCATGGAGCATTGGAGTTTCCAGAAAAGAGCAAGCGTAGACAGGAGAATTGGCTGTCAAGACAGAAGAAGGAAGTATGTCTAGGGCAGAGATAGCTTGCCACAAAAATAGTAGAGACCTAGTGAACCTGAGACCTGAGAGTTGTTTTGGACTATTAAAGTGAATGTGTTAATGAAGGACAATTTGGGGAACATATCATTCATGAGGAAATCTGAGATTGTTCTTTCTAGAGTAGGACACAAAGTCATCTTGTGCCCTCAAGTTCAATGATAGCTGGAATGGTCACTTTGGGACAGAGGTAGAGGCAGGGCCAATCAGAGGCAGAGCCAGGAGAGTTATTAGGTCTGGGCTTAAAACTCAAAGGCGCTCACAGATTTAGCAGAAAAAGAACTATCAATGTTTAGCTTGAGGATGAAAGTTTTTGGATGGTCACAGCATGCCTGATGTGAAATGGAATTTCACATGGGATACATGAAAAATTACATATGTTTCTTCAAACAAATAGTGCATTTTCATAGGGATACCAGGAAAAGATGTTTAAATGAAATTCAAGTAGTGCTTTAGTTTTGAATGCCTTATTTTGCCTTTATGAATCTTTATTTTTGAAAATTATGGCTATAGGAAATTTAAAAGCTAGCCTCAGGGGACCTCTGGGAGTCCTTCATGGAGCTCAGATTTATGGGGCTAGATGGGACCCTGGTGATCATCTATTCTAGTATTTATTTGAACAAGAACCCCCCTTTCAACAACAACCCCAACAAGGGCCACCCAACCTTTGGTGAAGGCCCTTCAACAGAGGCAACCTCTCCATCTCCCAAAGAAGTTCATTACATTTTTTGGATAACTCTAAGGTTAAGAGAATTTTATCTTATGTTCAGTCCAAGTTTACCACCCATTTCTCGTAGTTTTCTGCCTGTTGGGGTCAAGAAGAACATATTTAATCCCTTCTCCACATGACAACCTTTAAAAACTTAAAGACAGCTATCATTTGCCATCAGCATCTTCTCTTCTCCAGGCTAAATACCCCTAGTTCCTTCAATCTAATCATTTTCATATGGCATGAACGCAAGCCTATTTACCATCTGGGTCACCCTGTTCTGGACTCTCTCTAGTATGTCAGTATCCCTCTTAAAATGTGTCTGCCAGAACCTGAGTCCAATATTCCATATGTGGTCAGAGGCAAAGAACAGCTGGATTATCACTTCCCTTGGCCTAGACACTGTGCCTCCCTAAGACCACATTTGTTTTATGGACTGCTTTGTCATAGCATTGATCCAAATTCAACTTTGAGCCCACTGTATAAGAAGAAATAGGATCTGAGCTTAAGGGGAATGTTGTTGTTCAGTCCTTTATCAGTGGTGTCTGACTCTGTGACCCCATTTGGGGTTTTCTTGGCAAAGATACTGGAATGGTGTGCCCTTTCCTTCTGCAGTTCATTTTACAAATGAGGAAACTGAGGCAAAGAGGGTTAAATGACTTGCCCAGGGTTGTACAGCTAGTAAATGTCTGAGGCTAGATTTGAACTCTGGAAGATGAGTCTTTCTGACTCTAAGCTTGTGTTCTATCCACTTTGCCATCTAGCTGCCCCTTGCTGGGAATAGCATATAGTAAAATGAAATCTCAAGCAGTGGAGTATGGTGAAGACATTTTTAATCATACCTTTACTCATTACATTAATATATTTGATGCAACAAGATGTGTATATGTGTGTGTGTGTGTGAGAGAGAGATTTGTGTGAATCTTTTCTAAGTCTATGCCTGTGTATCATTTGTATCATAGCGTTTTTTCTTCTCTTAGCAGTCAAATTTTGTGCTGATTACATCAGGTATTGTCACCCTTATAAAAGCCCCTTCTTGAAATAGAGGTATTTTCTCTATAGAGCAGTATGAGAGAATCTGGCACCATGGTAGATTTTGAAAGAAAAAGCAAACTCAAAGTCAGGGAAGACTGATAAGTGACCTCATCACCCAGAGTCCCTGGGCACCACACTTACTTTTTGCTTCAATAAAGTCTGCATCAAAGCAATCTCAATCCTTCATCAAAGAGATTTCCAGTGCACTCCCAATGGGTTAACATAAATCTTACTGTTCTCACTCTGTTTTCTCCCCCCTCCAACTTTCCTTTTAAAAAATCAGCCCCCGGGTCTCCATTTCTTTAAATCATTTATCCTTGGGTTGCAAGCACCAGCTATATGGATTACATATCAGCAGTTAAGAATATTCCACAAAGTCCGGGCTTGTTCTCACCCTGCAGTGCTTAGAGTCACAGATTGTGATGAAAGAAATTTGAAAGGCCCAGCCAGGCAATCCCGAAGCAGGCTCAGCGCTTTCCGATCTACAGCTTATCACTCTCTGGCTGTTCTTTTGACCAGCCATCAATCATCACTCACGTTTGAAACTTTTGAGCGATTCCTAAGATATGAACTCCTTTGATGAAAGTTAACAATACAGCACATGCAGCACAGACAAAGTAAGAGGCTTTTGACTTAAGTTAAATAAATGCTTTGTTCAAACTCCAGTTTTTCCTTTTTTTTTTTTTTTGGAGGGGATGGTATTTGGAGAGGAAGCATGATGCAGTGGTAGAAACATCACTGGACTTTGATTCAGGAGTCCTGGCTTTGAGTCCCATTTCTGCCATTTTATAGCTGTGGATCTTAGGGACTCACTTTGATTTTCCCAGATTCAGATTTCTCATCTGTAAAATGAATGAATGAATGAATGAATGAATGAATGAATGAATGAATGAAAAAGACTGCAGAATGCAAACAGACAAAATGAGGTATCCCTCCTCTCAGGGACTTTACACTCTAATTGGGGGAGATAACACATAAATGAGTTCAATTGCAAGGCAAATGGAAAAGCCTGATAGTCCTAAGGTTGAAGCAACAGAGTAGATAGCAAGGACTAGGGGATCCTTAGGGCACATTCCTAGGTTACAGGATAGTATCAGGGGACTGAAGAGTGTAGAGGTAGGGAAGATGATAATGGCTGATGGTTTTCCATTTTACCAGAAGGACTGGAGTTATTGACTCTTATATCATCCAAATAGCATGAACATGTTACTCTTCCTGACTGGCAGCACTGATGGAGCCTGGGTGGAGGTATTAGGGATATTTGGGGGAGAAAGCAGCTAGATGGTACAGTGGGAGTGAGTGCTAGGCCTGGAATCACAAGAACCTGAGTTCAAGACTGGCTTCCAATACTTACTAGCTGTATGATCTTGGGCAAGTCACTTAACCTCTGTTTGTCTCAGTTCACTCAACTGTAAAATGGAAATAATAATTTAGCACCTACCTCCCAGGATTATTGTGAAGATCAAATGGAATATTTGTAAAGCACTTAGAACAGTGCCTGGCACATAGTAGGTGCTTAATAAATGCTTATTCCATTCCATTCCAAGTGAGGGGAAGACAATGGGGAAGGGTGCCCCTGATGGTTGGTCTTTCTGTTGCCCAACCTCTCCATTGGGTTTGAATTGTTGTGAGGAAGGGCTATACAAACCCTAAAAGGCTATGTAAATGTTGTTGTTGTTGATGATGATGATGATGATGATGATGATGATGATGATGATGACTTCCTCGTCCTCTCCTTAGTAACCTTAGCAAGTCATTTTGGGTTGTTACATTAGGGAGATCATGTTATATGTGGTTGTAATAACCAGAAGAAAATGCTATGCAAAGAGAAATTGTGAGGAATATAGAGCTATGCAGTTGGAGTCAAGGAGAATGAAAAGCATTGTGTACTGGAAAGATCCCTGAACAGGAATCATGAGATATGAGTTCTAATCCTGATTCTTCTACTTATTACTTGGGGAAGCCACTTTGGGAAAGCCACTTAACATCTCTAGTTCTTCTTTTCATCCTCTGTAAAATAAAGGAGTTAGACTAGATGACTTCTGAAGTTCCATCATTGGAAAAGGGGAAAATAGAGGTAGAAGTCATGGGGAAGCTGTTAAACTCAAGACTAGCTGAAGAGTAGCTTTGAAGTCATATGCTTCCACATTGTCTGCTGCAGGAGGACCTACAAGGTGTCTACTGCCTCTCTTTGCTCGCTTGGGGAGCTGCTAATTTCAGAATTAACAGAAAGTCAAAGGCACTCTCTGAAATTATTTCTTGGGCTGACAGAATTTAAATATGATTTTAGCTGGATCATGTTGTGGATTTCTTCTGCATTTAATTTTGCTGAAGGAGGCCACATTTGAATGCCTTGTCTTGCCTGGCTAGCAGTAAATGTAGCTAGCTCATTGCCTGGCTGATGAGAGCAAACCCTCAGCTCTGGGGGGTAATTTTTTAAAGTCAAGGAAGACCTAGTGGTTCTCAGGGCAATCAGCCAGGCTTCATTTTCTGTTCCTTCTAGCTAAAATGAAAGAGTGGAACTGTCTGCAGAGTTATGGGGCCCTGGTCCCCAATATTATCACACATCATTACTGGTAGACAGGGCAACTGATTGCCCAGTCTTATGGGTAAGGCCTTAATAAATTGTACCATATAATATCACGAGTGGTACCCAAAGGCTATGAGACTGTCTGTCCCCTATACACTGAGGGATGGGTATTGGAAGTGAACTCATACCCTACCCTCCCATTTCTCCTCCTATTATCCATAGTCCTGGACTTATTACCCTAGAGGTTCTTTTACTACATTGGACTATTTCCATTTAAAGACCTTTTGTCTATTGAAGTGAAATACCTACCAGTGGAGGGGCGTATGGCAAACCTCTTCTCTTGCTTATTCTGGTTCATTGATCTAAGTTTTTCTCTGGAGAACCCCTGGGAAAGTTCTAAAAGAAGTCTTGGGAGTTAAAGATACCTTAGTCTAGTGAATGGCTTGATATAAGAAGTCTCTTAAGTTGGATTCCTCTGGATTGGTCACCAGTGGATAGAGAAGTGATGGAATGTCATCCTGATTGAGGCACAAATGAATAATCTCTCTGTAGAAAAAGACAGGAGGCATAACTTTTTTTTTTTTTGTGGTGGGAAACCAGAATGAAAACATTTTCTTTGGAAATATTGGAGAGAAAAGTCCTATTCGATGAAAAACAGTAAGATGAAACTTTTCTTATCTTTCTAAATCCTAAAGTCTGGCCTTATAAGGAAGGGAAAAAAAAGTGATCTCCTTCCTCTCCTTTGACATTGTGTTTCATTTTCTGGTTGCACTTGTGTAGAGGAGGGAGCATTTACCAGCTGCCTCTGAGGGGGCTACTTTAAGACCCAGGAAAGAGGAGGCAGAACAGGGAGTTCTGCTATTGTGCAGTTCATCGGCTGGTCTCATCCCTTCCAAGTGCTCCTCCCTAATTGATTCTGACCATTTGAAACCTAGTTGCCTTCTGAAGAAAAGATCATACAGGCTTATTGAGGCTATTTCTTGTTATCCTTCGGGTGGTGGTCTGCAAATCAGCTTTGTGGGTAACTTGTGGATACCTTGAGTAATGGAGGGCCAAGACTTCCTGGAGGAAATTGTTCCTGGATCCATAAGAAGGGAATGTTGCATGTTAGGCAGTTTCAATTTTCTCTTGTTTTTGGCATTTTGGTCTATGGTGCCTAATAAAACAAACAAAAAAAAATGAGATGCGCACATGTATATGTACATAAACATTTACATCTTACATCTATCCTTGCTCCTCATTGGTGCTTGTGCTAGTTTGCCAGCTAAGCTAGTCTATAAATAATGGTGTGCCTGTGTTTAGGGAACAAAATCAAAGGTCAAACTTTAGAAGCGCTATTAGTGTATTGTTTAAATGCAGACTCAGGAAGGTTTGGAATACCAGTCACATGCAAGGAAACATGGAGCTGGCAAGAAGACAGTAAAGCGAGCCAGCTATACTGAGGGTAGAGTCTCACAAAGTGCAAAGGCACCAGGGAAGTCTTCAAGCAAAGCGTGAATAATCCCGTACTGTGAAGATCGTTTTTTCAGCTATGTTAGAGTAGAGAGCTGCTAAGTTCTCTTCCAACATTGAAGTTTCTGATTTTGATTCTTCTTTGGTGTTTTGTGGCATTCTTGGGGTTGTTGTGAAGCTAAAATAAAATTATATATTTTTATATATATGTATATATACACATACACACATAAAGGTATAACATATGTGGTATATTTCTGTTGTTATTCAGTTGTTTCAGATATGTCTGACTCTTTGTGACCCCATGTGGGGTTTTCTTGGCAAAGATACTGGAATGATTTGCCATTTCCTTCTCCAGCGCATTTTACATATGAGGAAACTGAGGCAAGCAGGGTTAAATGACCCCAGGGTCACATAGCTAGTAAGTGACTGAGGCAGGATTTGAACTCAGGAAGATGAGTCTTCCTGACTCCAGGCCCAGGGCTCTATCCACTGTGTCACCAAGCTGCCCACGGAAAGAACCTTAGAGACCAATTATTCCAAACTGAGGCCTAGAGAAGTTAAAGTGACTTTTCCAAGGTCACATAGGCAGTGGCAGAGGTTTGAATTCAGGAAGATGAGTCTTCTTGACTCCAGGTCTGGTACTCTGTGCACTACGGCACCACCTAGCTGCCCTTGTTTTGTACATATATACACATACATACACGGACATACATTGCACATATGTATGTAGAAGTATATAAGTATACTTATATACATGTATACACACACACACACACACACCTCATGCCCATGATCACAGAGCCCTGTTAAGGGTTTCAAAGTGAAATCTTCCTACATCCAGGTCTGACCTTGATCCATTAAGCCAACGTTGCTTTTTTAATGCCATAGCTCCAAGTCAGGGATTCTTAACCTTTGATATGTCATGGGCCTCTTCGGAAGTTTGATGAAGCCTATGGATCCCTTCTCAGAAAAAAAAAAATGTTTAAAAATGCATAAAGTAAAATGCATAGCATTACAAAGGGAACCAATTACATTGAAATGATTGCTATGCTGGAAAACAAGTTTATAGATCACCCCCCTGGGAAAGAATCTCTGCCCTTGGTGATCAGAAGCTCTTGCTCCTTTGACAAGTAGTAAGCATGTGCCAGTTATCATGTTAGGTGCTCGGGATACAAATGCAAAATGGAAACAGTTCTTGCCCTCAGGCTTCTTACATTTACGTTTATATAAGAATCAGGAAATTTTAAAAAAAGTTAATGAATAGGGACTTCCCCTGGAGAAAAGGTGATGACGTGCTGTCTTTAAAGGGAAGCAGAAGAATCTGATTAGCTTTATTTCTACTTAGGGTGGATGGGGCAGGTAGGTGGTTCAGTGGATAGAAGGCCAGGACTAAAGTCAGGAAGACAGAGTTAAAATCCAGTCTTAGACACTTCTTAGCTGTGCGACCCTGAGCAAGTCACTTAACCTTACTTGCCTCAGTTTCTTCATCTGCAAAATGAGCCAGAGAAGGAAATGGCAAATCACTCTAGTATCTTTGCCCAAAATGAGGTCATGAAGAGTAGGATGCAATTGAAAAAGACTGAACACATGACACTACTTAGGGGAGGTCACTCTCCAGGGGTGAAATGTTCATAACCCATACCCCATTTTCATCTACTAACAAAGGGTGCAGCAGACAGAAGACTTGCCCTGGTGATTTTGTCTATTTTCTTCTCCCCATAGTCCCAGCTGCTGCTTTTTCACCTAATGGGGCTGGTTGGAATCAGAGATGTGAGAATAGAATTTATTGGCCTGGAAGGTCCTTGAGGGTAGATGCCATGTCTTTGTTTATTTGTTTTTTTTTTTTTAAATCTCCCCACCTTGCTTAATGCAGTGTTGATCTTAGAGTACTCTGATACTTCAGAGAGTATCAAGGAAAAGGGTGTAAGACCTCAGTTCAAATCTTGGCTCGGATGCCCCCATGGCCTTGGACAAATTGCTTAGTGTGTCTGGGCCTCAGTTTCCTCATCTGTAAAGTGAGGGGCTTGCATTAGCTGGTTGCTAGGTTCCTTCCAATTCTGAGGCTATTAAGGATGCCAAAATCTATGAATTTGTTCCTGAAGGCATCCTTTTCACCAGTGCTCAGAGCTATCTGTCTGCTTCTCCACTGGTCATCCTCATGAATTGTTGAGGGGCAGTGGGGCAAGAAAAATGATTGCTTTGGGATTAAACTTCTGTACTTAGCTACACTGCTTCTTGCATGGCAGATATGTGGTTCTTCACTGGGCTGGGACTTGAAGCATTTTCTACCAGGTTCCATTGGCATAGACTCTGAGAGCTCAAGGTCACCTCCATGCCATAATCATTGTTGATATTTATATATGATATCTCATTTGACCCTTCCAACAACCCTGTGAAGAAGGTACTACAGATATTCTTATCCTCATTTTTTGTTTTTGTTGCTTTTTGGTGAGGCAATTGGGGTTAAGTGACTTGCCCAGGGTCACACAGCTAGTAAGTGTTAAGTATTTGAGGCTGGATTTGAACTCAGGTCCTCCTGACTCCAAGACCAGAGCTCTATTCACTGCGCCACCTAGCTGCCCCATCTTATCCCCATTTTACAGATGAGGAAAGTGAGGTCCAGAGAGGCTGAATGATTAGCCCATGCACACATAACTAAGGTCTCCTCTGATACCAGCTCTAGTACTCTTTATCCCATTGCATTGACTTCCCTCTGATGCCATCCTGGAGCCTCAGAGGTGGCCTTCTCGTGGATGGTGGTGGCCTGTAGTAGGTGCGCTCAATAAATCACTATTTGATTGGTTGATTGAGGAGGTAGTGGCCAGGAGAGATAGTTGGTGGAGGTGAGAAAATTATATTCCAGAAGTGTTCAATGCAAATGAATTCAACAAGAGTTCACAAAACACTAGCTTTGAGCTCAGGAATCACAGAACATTCTGTTAAATAAATACCAGAAAGCCCTGACATGGACTCCCTTTTTCTCACCAAGGGAAGAAGAAATATTCTAAAGTAAAAGCTTTTATTAAAAGCCTCTTAGCTTGAGGGGTGGGAAGGGGAAAAGCTAAATTTAGCAAATGCAATAATACAACAAACACTTGTTAAGCACTGCAATTCACAGTGCTAGGCACAGGAGATACAAAGATGAAAAACAATACCTTCCTTGCCCTTGGGGATTATAATCTGATAGGAAAGACATAGGATCATAGATTTAAAATTGAAAGGGAATTTAGAGGCCATAGTGTCCAACTTTCTCATTTTATAGAAGAGGAAAGCTGAAACACAGAGAGGTTAAGTGATTTGTCTAGAGTAACACAGTAAGTAATTGTCTGAGATGGGATTAGAAATCAGGTTTTCCTAATGCTAAATTCAATTCTCTATCCATTATGTCATGCTGCCTTCTGCGTATACAAATAAATACGGAAAAAGGTAGATTATGGTATGATGGGAGGAAAGAGGATCCAGACAGAATATTGTGGAAAAATCAAAGAGAGATCACTTTTATTTTGGGTGAGGTAGAAGGGGAGAGGTGTCAATCAAGGGAGGCTTCATGGACAAGGTATAATGTTAAGTGTTTATTTATAGCTAGTGTTTATATAGTGCTTTAAGGTCCTTTACATATGTTAAATCATTTGATCTTCAAAACAATCCTGTGAGGTATGTGTTATTATCATTGACATTTTACAGATGAGGAAACTGAGAGCAGGGAGATTAAGGGACTTGCCCATTGTCATATAGCTAGTAAAATTCTCCTAGCTCCAAATCCTGAGCTCTAGCTTGTGAGTTGGGTCTGGAAGGATTTTAACAGATGGAACAGTAGAGGGCATGTATTTCAGGCATAGAGGAGAACCTTCATGGGTTTGGATTTGGTAAGAGTATATATATATATATATATACATATATATATATATATATACACACACACATATATTATATTAGTATTGTAGAGTTTGATAAGAGTATGTATATATATAAAGTATATATATATAATGTATATTAGTATTGTAGAGTTTAGTAAGAGCATATATATATAATATATTAGTATTGTAGAGTTTGTGTAAGAGTATCTGTATAGATTTACATATAAAGCACACACACACATATGTAATGTATATATAGAGGATCATAGAATCATAGGTTTAGAACTTCGAAAGTCATCTAGTTCAACACCATCTTCCCTGACTCCACCACCATTTTGTTGATTAGGAAACTGAAGTCCTTAGAGGTTACGTGACTTGCGGAAGGTTAAACGGGTCAATAAAGAGCAAAGTGTGAGAAATTACTCATTTGGACCCCTGCTATATTCCAATCAGTTTGATGTGATTCCATAGGGGTAGTGATTATGAATTCTGTATATTAGGCCCCAGAGCTGTGAATTACAGATTGTAAATTCACTTGCTTAATCATAGGAAGCTAACTAGAGGTCACTGCCACCTTGTTTGTTTTGCCTTGTTATGGTGACCAAGCCCAGGGTGGTGAAAGTGACTCAATTACATGGAAAGTCCCCCAACTTATTTTTGTACTTCCCGACCACTCTTATGTCCAATATGAGCTGGCGACCATCTTATGACCATCTTATGACCACTTAGCTAGTGGAGATGCCGATGCTTCACGCTTTGCCTAACCTGAGACCCCAATTCTGACATACCCTTTCTAGATGATGCACCATT